CAGCTGATAAACTGGCCGCACAGAGGAAATGTGATAAACTGGCCGCACAGAGGAAATGTGTATGTGTGACTGTCTGCCTGTGACTGTGTGTGACTGTCTGCCTGTAACTGAGTGTGTGACTGTCTGCCTGTAACTGACTGTGTGACTGTCTGTCTGTAACTGACTGTATGACTGTCTGTCTGTAACTGACTGTGTGACTGTCTGCCTGTAAATGTGTGTGTGGGGCTGCAGGGATTTTTTAGAAGGGGGCGGGGGTTTTGTATTGGGACAGGAGTCTTTATAAGGGGGGATAAGCAGGGGATTTGTGGAAGGGGGTTGCGGGGTTTTGTAGACGGGGCAGTACAGGATTTGTAGAAGGACAGAGGATTTGTAGGAGGGGCGGGTAAGGACAAGGGTTTTGTAGGGAGGGGCTGACAGCGTTTGCAAGTTTACAATTAAAACAAAGAAAACTCTAACATTTTTACAGGTTTTTTGTTTTTTTTGGGGGTGTGGGGTGCTGTTACCAAGGATCCGCCCCGGGTGCCAAATGCTCTAGGTATGCCCCTGGTGTTATGAGAATGCCTAAGCAACTTAAAGGACCACTCTAGGCACCCAGACCACTTCAGCTTAATGAAGTGGTCTGGGTGCCTGGTCCTTCTAAGGTTAACCCATTTTTTAATAAACATAGCAGTTTCAGAGAAACTGCTATGTTTATTAATGGGTTAAGCCTTCTCCCTATTCCCTCTAGTGGCTGTCTCATTGACAGCCACTAGAGGCGCTTGCGTGCTTCTCACTGTGATTTTCACAGTGAGAGCACGCAGCGTCCATAGGAAAGCATTGTAAATGCTTTCCTATGAGACCGGCTGAATGCGCGCGCAGCTCTTGCCGCGCGTGCGCATTCAGCCGACGCGGAGGAGGATCGGAGGAGGAGAGCTCTCCGCCCAGCGCTGGAAAAAGGTAAGTTATTACCCCTTTCCAGAGCCGGGCGGGAGGGGGTCCCTGAGGGTGGGGGCACCCTCAGGGCACTATAGTGCCAGGAAAACGAGTATGTTTTCCTGGCACTATAGTGGTCCTTTAAGCGACGAAAACTTATAATGTTTATCACCTAACCTATCTTTACATAAAAAATGTGTTAGATCTACCATGTACCTCTGTTCAACTGTTTTACATTACGCTGGAGGATTGCCTTTGGGGTACCTCACATGCGCCTGTTTAAAGCTCACGCACTACAAAAATAAAGAATAAAAAAAAAAAAAGTCTCCTCAAGTAATGCAGGAGTTCTTACCCTGTGACCCCCTCAAGTACCCCGCAGATTCACACGTTGCACTCCTTGGCTTGGTCCTCCAAGATCACCGCTCACGTGTTTAATTCCGTCTGACGTTATTGCAGTTTTGAGGGACTGCAGATTTTTTCTTTGCATTATTACATACATGCAGGGTTAAGCAGAATTGGCAAAGCTATTACAAATTTTAGGCTAGAAAGAGGCGAATTGGAAAAATTCTGCAGCTTGGCTATTTTTGACTAAAGTTGTCCGTTCACCACAATTTACAGTTTAGTGAATAAACCAGCATAGACTCTTATTGACTTCATATAAACACATCACACATTATGCAGTAACGACGTTTGTATTTGTCCTTGCCTAAAACCCTGTAAGATGCCATGCCAAAGTCTTTTGAAAATCTGCCTGAAGAGACCTTAATGTATAATTTTCTACGGGTAGCCGTGGGCAGCCTGTACATAATTTTTTCCTGTTTCATATTATAAAAGTATTTCACTCTTTCATCTCAACTACAAAAGAGAAATAGCATTTGAATATTTCCTTTTAACCTGTCAAAGATTTTAGGTCCTTTTTATACCGAACAGCATAAAACAGGTACGCTGAAAGGACTATTCTGTGTAGGAAGAACTTAGCTTTCTTTTATAAAAGTAAAGCAGGCCGCTTGTAAATGTGATCTCATTTAAAAGGGAATTGCCATTAAAATGTAATTCCGCTTAAAGAATCAGGAAATCATAGGTTTTTTTTTTTTTTATAATTCTTTATTTTTGGTGCGCATCGAATTATACAGAAGCTCGCCTTGTCACAACAACAAGGACGGGCACATTCGTGATAGTACTTTATAACATTTAACATACAGTACATGAGGTTTGCAAGAAACTAGTACAACATTACGGACATTACACACATTTTTTGTAAATGTAGTAGGGTTGTGGCCCCGGTTGAGGAGTCGGTGCATAGTAGCGTATTTAGATTGTGTGATGAAATCATAGGTTTAAGTTTAGTTTATATAACAAAAAAAAAAGAAATTGAGAAATTATATCTTGAAACATGCTATTTTTATTGTCCCAAAAGCCACATTACAGGGGACTGAGCTGTTTTTATTTAATCCCTATGTGGTCACTGACCATGAATAGAACTCCCTATGTATTCTATTTGCTTATCAAACAACCAATCAAAATAGAAGTATTATATTAAAGTGCCTAATATTGTTCTTTTCTATTCAGTTTTCTCCTTTCAGTCTGTGAAGCGCAGAGGCATAGCAAGTTCTTTTTAGCGCCCACGCAAACTTTTGTTCCACGTGCTATAATATTTCACAAAAGGCAAAACCTGTATTTAAAAATAAAAAAATAAAAACTTTTTGACTTAGTTTCAGTTTTTAGTTTGATGTAGTGTCATCAATTAATACATTTTATGAACAGATTGAGTAAATCGATAACATGCTCCAGTCTTGCCTTATCCCTTTTTATACACGTATGTGGCCTATTATTATTATTATTTTTTTTTTATTATTTATTTATTTGTGTGTGTGTATCTTTTTGCTTGTCTCGCCATTCCAATTTTCAAAGTAATTTTTTTTTTCATTTTATTTATTTATTTTTGGCAATTTTGTATTTTGAGAAACAATTATATGAGGGATTTGCTATCTCTGTGTATTAATCCGTTTTAGATTTCCTATTTTACTAAATCGATATTTGAATTAGATTTGCAAGTTCTGCAAAGGTTAAATTTATGCATTTTATGAGCATTGTTTTCTTTGTATTTTTTTTAACTTGTAACTTTAATCATGTTCACATAGTAATTATTCGTTTCGAACCTTTCCATGTTTCCAGATTGAAATAATAATTTATATGGAGGAAAATAGTCTGTTGCCTGGAAGTGTATTTGAACACGGTTGCTACCGTTTATTTCCATGAATAAATATAGACATAATGAGCTATCAATCTTCAGTCATCCGAATCACGGGGATACAGGTATTTGGTGACAATGTAAAACAGATGAAGCTACGTATTCTAAAATATTTGTGAGCCTGTCTCTAAATCAGTGAGATTCCACAGAAAGCTAGTGGGAAGTTGACATGCATGGATTATTATTTGCTGCATTTTAATGAAATCTTTCTGGCAGGGATGTGATAAGGGAAAGACACTCATCCCTTGGGGCTGTGACTTGCTTTGCTCAACGCTAACTTTGATCGAGGCACCAGCTACTACTGTGTTATCATGCTGTGTGTTGCATATTTACAG